CCCTCCCAGCCACCCCCTGAAATGGTGCTTACACTGCCTTTCCTTCTCAATGCACACAAGGGGAGTGCCTAAAAGAGAAAAAAAAATGAATACAAATCTGCAATTGATTTTCATAATGTTTCTGCGGTGTTTGAAAACCAATCGTTTTTGAACCTCTCTCAGATCTTACCTAAGTGAACCCTCCTACGCTTCTAAGTGCTTGCAACTGATATATGGCGATATCTACTTGGGCATCACGTGCTCCTGGGGAGAGACTAAGACGGACAGCGCGTCATCCAGCCTTCCCAAATTTTTCCCCCTCTGCAGATCGCCTCCAAAACATCTATCTATAGAGCCAGAAAGGGAGAAAGATGTTTAACTCGGTCAACCTGAGCAACTTTTGTTCGCAATCGCGCAAAGAGAGGACTACAGAATTTGGAGACCGTGGAGGCTGCGCTTCCAACCTGTACCTCCCCAGCTGCACTTATTATGTCCCTGAATTCTCCACTGTGTCTTCCTTCTTGCCCCAGGCCCCTTCTCGGCAGATCTCTTACCCCTATTCCACTAACCTCTCCCAACCCGTGCGGGAGGTATCCTATGGTCTAGACCCCTCTAGTAAATGGCACCCTAGAAGCAATTACGCCTCCTGCTACCCTGCAGCTGAGGATCTCATGCACAGAGAGTGCCTCCCTCCTTCTTCCAGCATGACCGAAATGCTAATGAAAAACGAAAGCGTGTACAGCCACCACCACCACCATCACCACCATCACCACCCCAATTCCAACCATCCTTCCACAGGATTCTACACCAGTATGAGCAAGAACTCGGTGCTGCCACAGGGATTTGATCGCTTCTTTGACAATGCCTACTGTGGGACTGATTCCCAGACTGAGGACTGTGCCCCCAAGAGCGATGGCAAGCTGGACACTGACCCCCAGGCTAGTGCTCTGTCAAGCGGAGCCGAACCAGGGCTAGACCCGGAAGACGAGGAGGAGAACACCAACCCCGGCTCGTCAGCTTCATCCTCCTCTATCACCAACAAGGAGACGAGCAAAGGCAGCAGCAACTCCAGTAGGTAGAGCTGTGTGCAATGTCCCAGGCAGCCAGGAGCAGGGGAGGTGCAGAGGGGGGTTAGCCCGGCGTTTTGTCGGTCACATTTTATGTGGAGTTTTATAAGCATTCAAAGGATTTTATTAAACCTACAAAAACTCTTTCTTCTAACGAGAGGGGGGGATTTTACGATGGGAAAGCTCTTTGGGGGAGAGAGAGAGAAAAGAGAGGCTGTAGTAGACTGGGGAAGACAGATAAAAGGAACAAATAAACAAGCGAATCTCATTGATGGACATGCAGTTTGGGGATAGAGTTTGCCAGGCTTCAGATGCCAAGGCTGGGCGCTAACGCTTCACTTTGATCATGAACTTTCAGGGCATTTTAGACGGTTTTGTTTGTGCTCTGTGGAGGTGAAAGGCAATTGGGCAGAACGTAACCTTGGCAGTTTCCTGTGCCTGCATTTCACAGTCCTTGCCTGCTGTGTTCCCTATTCAAGCATTTTTCTTGTCTCGTTAAAATCTTATTTGTATACACCATAGAATATAGCTTATACAATCGTCCTGTAATGCCTTTGGGTCAGTTTGAAGCCTTGTGCTCCTTTGACTGTGCCTTTAGCTTGTGCTTGTGCCTGCATTCTCCTAACAAAGGTACCATTTCACTGCTACTAGAATATTACATATGCTGTGCACATTTTCTGTGCAAATATAAACCTCCTTCTTGCATTCTGCATTTAATTCAACTGTCTCCACATTGCATGATGTCCCCAAATCTGTCCATAATACTATCTCTGTGGGGCTTTTAACGCACCCTGATATTGATCATGCTGACTTTCACGAGCACCGCTAAAAATAAAATATGGTAACTATTTTTAGTGTACAGTGCGGTATTGTGTGCTTGTGTGTGTGCTCGATGTAATTATATAATTATATTCCTGGAAAGCATAGGCTGCTTCAATTGTGTGCGCTGATTGTAGGGGAACCCAGAGACCATCCCTCTGCATTAGTTGTATCATTTGTAAAATGTGTGTGTGTGTGTGTGTGTGTGTGTGTGTGTGTGTGTGTGTGTGT